ACATTTTCACTCGAAACGAGGCAGGAAATCTTGAGGACTGCGTCAAAATGAATATCGTATAAAAGCAAAACGGCTGCAGCATAACGAGATTTATCCGACCTCTTCTGGTGAGATCGGCCAACGAATATCTCCCTAATTCCCTTTCATACGAAATGAAAGTGTCCCCAACAATATACAAATACATTCAAGAAGAATGATGCATGAAGAAGCCTCTTGCGATAAGTATAATGATGCATCTTCCTTTACAGGCTGCATTCACTTTGGAAGGTTGGATATCACTTGCTTAGCTAGATTGACCTGGAATCTCTGTGGCTGTACTCTTTCCGTTTGACGTTTTTGATCCGTGTATTCTAGCCTCAGTACCACCATACTGACAAAAGACAGACAAATACGCATTTTTAGATATAAGATAATCTTTGGTCTACCATGCTACCAGCCAACTGTCTCAAGCCAGCTTTTGAGCAAATGAAAAAACCGTTCTTTAATGTATTTTGGGGATTGTAGAAAATGCCGGAATTAGGCAAGATGCTGCAGGCTTACAGTGGAAATGCACTTTATATGCAAATATTAGCACCAAATGGAGAGATGAAAAGGCCGTCTAAAGGAAACTAAATGTGAAAAACAGACCTTCGCTTCAGCTCATTGTGGGTAGACTTGTTGTCCGTCCGGGTGAAACCAGTTGGAACTGGCATGCACAAACAACAAACAGCCTCTTGACAGTTTCGATGCAAAACCTCAAACTAATTGCATAACTTGTAAGTAAGCTAAAGAGTTATAGTATGTTAATGCCTATACATCCAAAATAAATCGGCCTTTTGGAAATTTGTTAAGAAGAGGCTATTTTCACTTCCATTCATGCTACTGCATCTCCTGAGTACTGAGTTTAGTTAGTGAATTTTAAGAGAACTTACATACCATAGCTCGTGTAAGGTGAGTTATGGACTGAAAGTGAGATAATTCCACAATTAGATCAGTATGTCTCACGATGCCAGTAAATCTCGCTTAGTCTTGCCACCCAAAAAAGCTTTATCGTTCTCGGTGGACTGCATTTCAGACCTCGTCTTCATCTTATCAGCACACTCAAATGATTCGATACCTGGTCCTGGGCATTGTGAAGATGTTGTCAATCTATTCCACTATATGGCCAAAGGTTTTAATGGTTTACAGGACAGATGCTTCACTCAAGGTGAGCCATACCTCTAGCAACTCACATTTTATAGTGGGATTCTCGTTAAAGCTAACATGTGCTTGTAATTGCAATCAAGGCTGTTACTAATTTTCGATATTAGTAGGCCATCTTACGCGACCAAAAGTGATTAAGTTCATATTAAAGCAGTACTGATAGTCTCAAAACCTGCTTATATTGAAAGGAAATAGGACGATTATGAGCTCGTGCACTCATATTTGCCTACATTCCTAAATTCAATCTTTAAGTGGAATTATTAGACATTGTAATTACCATGTTTTTACGGCGGTTTATTGGCATTCATTGGCTAGCAAGAGACAAATTTGCATACACCCACCTCATAATTGATGCGCCCATCTTTGTTGGCATCCATCTTGAGGAAGAGGTGATGCCTTCGTTCTTTCGGTAGGCCGTAGTCATTGTATTGAAACATTATTAATGCCTGTTGCACGGGTATGCCACCCTGTTTCTCGTAGGGCGCGAAGATGCATTTGAACTGCCGATTTATCCAATCGCGGTACTCATCTTCAGTCATGTCTTCAGGCGATCGGAGGTACTCGTCATTGGCAAATCGGCCAAAACCGCCATTGACTGCTGCGTCGTTCGTTTCGATGGGTTCTGGTATCCCCAGGCGGGGATCAGCATCCACCATATCTGTTTCCATGCCACCGAAGCCAGCCTCAAGCCCTGATTGTTCGGCCCCGTGGCGAACAGGAAAGTGTGGGTCATAAGGTCTGGGCACAGCATAGTCAAAGTTCTCCACTTGTCCAGAGTAGTGAAAGGCAGCCATCAAGAACGTACAAAAACGGCAAGCGTCTAAATTAGCCCAATTTTTCTGGAGCTTATGAATGAATTGGTATAAGGCTGTACCCTGAGCAGGCTCCTTGTACACACAGGTTCACAGCAAGTCTAATGAAAAAGCCTCCCTCATAATATACTGCAGGCACTAAAGAGAGGAAAATGAATGAATGAATATTTGAAACTATTATCAAAAAGTAATGAATAATTTTCGTTTTTTAAGTAGGCTTTCAAAACTACCTGTAGACCTTGAATAAGCACTGTGTTCACCTGATTTCGTTTAAGATAATAAAGGACTGGCAGTTGAATTTACTTACAATCATATAAGTAGACCTTGCTTCTCAATAATAAGCCAGTTATTTTTCGTTTCTAACTAGGTTATCAATTATATAAGATATGTTCACCGCATTTTGTTTAAAGTAAGGAAGGATTGCTAGCTGTATTTTCACAATGATATAAACAGAACTTACGGTTACAACGAATTTCACACAGCCCTACTTCCCAAAAGGTATTCCCATCTAGGGTGGACTGCAGCTTCGAACTCGCCTAGGTCTCATCAGCACCCACAGCAGAACATGTATCATGATAGTGTTCTGTACACTCTCGACACGTTAAGCAATACGCCGCAATGCCAGGAGTACCTTTAAGTCACAGCAAAAATGTGCATTTCAAGAAAGCCCAGGCATTTTCCTATATCACATTCTGTGCTGGGATTGTCGATAAAGCAAAGTTATATTTGCTACAGCAATTGACTACATTACTTATTTTTCGTTTGTAAGTAGGTTTTTGAGACTACCCGTTTGAGATGTATACCTGAAAAGTGATATTTTCAAGTTGTCCTCCATAATCCAGTTGCTTGTTTCCATCGCACATTTTCTTGTTTTATTAGCCTTTTAATAACACAAGGCAGCCAACTTTATCCCACTTATCCCACTTATCCCCACCATCAAGGCATCACCTCACACTCAATCAAGACAATTAACGCTAAGTCAGCAGTATTTTTATCGGCATCTCCAGTCTCGCCATCACAAAGCTAATATTTGGCACTAGATCACCTCGCAGCTATCATAAAGCCGATTGCTATTGGCATGCACCAGTTCACCCATAAGACACACGACAGCCTGGCCGCTTTGCGTTGTATGACACATGCGGCTTTACAGATGAGGCAAATCTCTTTTAGCTCACAGATTTTGGTGGCGAAATTTCCTCGATAGACTTGGCTTGAGTATGACATCATTTTGGCCTAGTTCGATGAAGGGCCGAAAGGAATTTGTTTCAAGCCAAATTGGGGAAAATGAGAGCAAATCCGTCTCATTGGCACAAACCATCAGCCGGATCGTTGCGTCTTCATGTGTGGGGTTGTGATGTGCGACAACGATACTTGCACCCACCGAGGTTGATGTAAGCAAGCTGCAATGTTTAGTACAACAAATAGAACATTCTACGCCTTCATAAACAAGGACTGTGCTAATTTTATGGAATAGAGCCCTTAAGCAAAAATATCTAATGACACTAGCCAAATTGTGAATTAACTCTGACAAAGAAATAAAGACCAAGATGCTGTGGCCTCTGGTATGGTCGAGGTTTACTTTCGATATTTAAAAGTGGGTTGACCTGGTTGTCGCAACTTAGTCTTGTTGTCAGAGTGACTTAGTATAACGCACCTAGTTAGAAGTCGTCTGCCATAGTAGTTGTCATGATTCCCAGCATCATACAGTCGACTTGGTACATTTTTAAACGTTTAACCGGCATCATAGTCGGCAACATCAGTGAGTTTTGCGCTTCTCCACACCAACCTACGAACTCGTCAAAGAGACAAGTGAAGTCAAACCCTCGACAAGCATTCTGCCGAAAACGGTTACACTATCACTCCTCTTCCTGTCTTGGTCTATCTGTCTACTCTTTACCCTATGATCCCACTGCCGCCCTATCAAAAATTCTCACTTGTTTACATTCCAATCATCAAAACTTGTGACCTTTTGTGGCAAACCGGGTGTGGCCTCATCACACTTGCTATTCAACCCGATCACCTCTCTTTCGATCGGCTTTTCCGACTCGGGCCTCCAATCCGGATCCCCTCATTGTCTCGTAGATCCGTTACTTATCTTTCTGGTTGACCGATTTCACTCGGTTTCAGTCACTGTGTGCATTTCACTCCAAGCGCTATTTCTCAAGGCCCTAGAAGCACGTACTATCTCGCTTCACTGAGCAGAGCTCCTAAGCTCTGATTTCAATGCCTGTAGATATCAGGCCTTCCCTTCACGTGT